CAGTCATCATCCAGATAAGCAAAGATGAACACCAAGATTATCACCAGACATACAATCAAGCAGTAAACAATACCCTAATCGGGGAACTACCAGAGAGGAAAAAACAAAACCCACACCCCCACCAACACTGGCAGGGCAAATCCCATTCCATTCTAGCACTGAAGATGTTACCTAGTCAAGTAATGAAACATTTGCAAGAAAACAGCCAAGCTCAGAGAACTGCAAGGACTCCACTGTGTTCCCTTTTTCAGACACAAAAGAATTTGCTACCACTGTAGTATAAGAATTAGGAGGATTGCCTAGCCAGCCTTCCTCTGAGATGCTACCATTGCTTTAATGTCATACTTTGGCAGAACACTCCAGTTTTATGAGCTTTCCTGAAGCTGAATTATTATTGGGTATATTTATGAGTTTTGAAGTGTTATATATGAATTGCTTTAAGGCTAAGAGAAGCAGAAGTGTCTTAAATAACTGGTGCAGAGGTCACTGAGAAATGGAAATGTTCTCTCATGGTAATTTCTCATTTATCTGAAACCTTTTCATTTCTTCTCCGAACTCTCTTACATGTTAAAATCTCTTCCATTGCTGTTGAGTGTCGTTCCTTCCAAAGCACTTTATCACTTACTCTAATAATGATGATGACAATAACACCGAGGATGAAACAGGGTTTGATTGTTAATAAATGTTATAAATAAATATTAATACAATTGAAAATAATTTCTTGCAGCTAGCAGATGATTTTATTTTGCTAAGCTATCTTTACATTAAGTGTACATTAAGAACAATGAGTAGATAATAATAGGTTAAAAATCAGACATAGAAGCCTATCTATTAAAATACTATATATAACTTCACAGTTTGTATCCAGTGTCATGATATTCAGATTTTAAATATGAAACAAATCCATATTTAAAATACAAAGAGAAAATAGTTATTTGAGACTGAATCTAATTGTGTTCAGAATGTTTTGTTTCAGCAGATGTTTCTATGAGTGGAAAATGGGTTGAGATATTTCTTTTGCTGATTCTCCATTCTACACACACACAATGTGCCACAGGAATTGGGAGATCTTTTGGCATGAGGGACATCAGTGAAAATTATATTTCCACTTTCTTCTCATTGAATCTTCCATTAAGCCAGAAAGTCTTCCAAACTAAAGGAATGTACAGCTCTCAGAAAAAAATCCTGTCTACAAAGAGACTTATTATTTATCAAAGATGCTGTTGTTTACAACTCTTATTTTTATATTTTACACAAACTACATGGAAGCATAAATAATATATTTCCATGTGTTTCCACATTTTAGCATCTGAGGCTAAAAGAAAAACATTTGTGCTATCATAAAGCAGTATTGACCTGATGTGCTCCTATGATAAAAACTATGCATGTATTTATAACACAGAAGTATTTCTCATCAAGTTGATGGTAGTTTCCCAAACAAATTAATACAAGGTATTAATGCCCCCTCCAAAATCTGAAGTTTGAATCTTCTATGAGGATCTCCAGGACAGAAATATGTAACTGGATTTAGAAATCTATACTGATTTATAAGGCTTCAGATGGCATGTAGATCCAAAGAATTGCAAGTAGAATTCTATTTTGCACTGATATTTTTTCCATAAAAGCCAAAGCAACTTAGGGAGGGGCAAAGCCTGCCTAATTTAAGAAAAATAAGACTTAATTGAAATTTGCAGCCCATCTATGAAAAGAGACAAATTCAAGGAAGAAGAGTCAATTAGTCCAACTTAGAAGCCTAGGAATGATGGCAAAATAAGACCTCTCATTATGGTCTTTCCATGTTCAGAGGCTGCCTGGGATCCCTCAGATCATTTGAGAAGATCTCCAATGTTATCTGTCAATTTCCCCTTTGGGCTGCTGCTTATGGAGTATACCTCCTATAATACTATAGAAATACTATGGAGTATACCTCCTATAATACTGTAATATTAGGGAGTAGATAAGAATGGACCTGAAAGCGGGGGGGGGGGGGCAAAAGAGATTTTTTCTAGAAGAGCTTAGGGACTCCCTAAAGAAAATTTCATCTGATGCTATCATAAATTAATCATAAAGGAATATCACACAAAATACTCACACAAACTTCTTTTAAATTAGGACAGGCTTCACCCCTCAGCAAATCGATTTGCCTATTTTGCTAAAAAGGTTTTTTGTTTGAAGTTACAGTCATTTATAGATGGAAGGTCAATAGTCAATGGAAAGCGCAAAGCTTCACATTTCCAAATAAATGGCTTTCAAATTGTCAGTTTCCAATCTGAAATTACTGATTACCCAATTAGCGATCTGGGTTCTGAACCATATCTAGTGGAAAGTTATAACTGAATGAAAAATATGGGAGATATAGTCACTAGTTTGAGCCTATTGTCTCCAAATGTTAAAGTACCAATTGGCTCCTGGCTAGCCACTGGGTAACATGTTTGAAAGTGAGTTTGAAAGTGAGTTAAAACAGCAGAAAGGAGAAAGCAACTAGATGTTGGGGCAGCTAAAACGGATTTCAGTCTTGTTCAGAGGCCACCTGAACTAAGTCAGTGCCACTTCCCCTAAGGCAGCAGGCTGTTTTACCTAGTGAAGCTAAAAGAGGAAAATTTATTTTGGCTGATTCCTGCTTTTCCTTGGAGATTTCGCCTCCCACAGAATTTGCTCCATAGGGTAAAATACCTTTTGATTGCCATTTCCATGCATCACCTTCTATGCCAATGCTTGAGAAAACACCTCCCCTTCTCTGAATTACTCCCCTGAGTCAAAGAGCCTTGTTTCTTGAGAGGATATCCACTAGAAACAACCTAAAATAAACATGTTTATACATCAAATATTATAAAAGATAGTTGTAGAAAAGTTTCAGAAGAGTAAACTATAGACATTGAATAGTATTTATGCCTCACATCTCATCAGATTATGAATGTGAGATTCAGGGATTCATTCTTTTTCAAAATACAGAAGGTATCAGTAACCTAGTTATTGCTTTTAAAGTCCTATTGATCACAGTGGCAATGTGAAGTATACATTTAACTCTTGGCTGTGAGAAATTTAATAATGGTGTATGACTGTTCCAAAACTGTCAGTATTTGTAGATGCAAAGTGATGGGTGTGTCAAAACCCTGGGAGCTAAAATAGCAATACTGGGCAGTTACGTGATCTGTGTTATTTAATCTGTTTCATGGTCAGTCACAATATTAAGCATATCATTTTAATTTGTATTGTTATTATATTGATATTTTATATTAATTGTGCAGTGAGCAGGCTGGGGTCAGATGGAAATATTATTAGGATCAGCTTTATACCAATAATGGAAATAACAATGAAACATACTGTGAGAAAAACAAAGTGGATTTAGATGTCATTTTTAAGAGATACCAAGATTTCAGTATAAGCACATTTTCTAAAAAGTAATTATACCTGAACACTTATTTCCACATGAGCTTGTATAGAATTCCGTTGCATTCGTATTAAATGTACTATATTCTTATTTTTATTACAACTGAATAATTGGACCTATTTTTCAATATTTACACATGTTCTTTCTCAGCTCCCTGTGGAGGCCAGTATACTGGATCAGATGGAGTAGTTTTATCACCAAATTACCCTCAAAACTATACTATTGGGCTGACTTGTCAGTATTCAATTACTGTGCCTAAAGAATTTGGTAAGTTTGACTTTTCACTAATTCTTTCTTGTTATTTATTCTTGATGATATTCTCTATGTACAAGTTACTTAACAAAGTAGTCTCAATGTTTCCTAGGATTGGATTAGCTAAAGATGGTTGCTGCTTATAAATATTTATCCAGCACATTTATTCTATTTACTTATTTGCCTATTTATTTATTAGATTTCAGGCTGCATTTCTGTTTCTTCAACAGAGTAGCTTACAAAGACAGAGCAGAATATGAACTTAAATGCCCTTAAAATCAGCATTGAGGTGAAACACTGAAATAAATCAACAATGAAGATTTGACAGAAGATATGAGTTTTCTTCCTGAATATCAAGAGGGGAACATTCACCCCTCCCCATTGATTATATTTGGATAGTAAGTGGTAGAAAAGCCTTTGCCAATAGTCTAGCTCTAAGGTAAGGGAGTTCCCCTCCAAAGGCTGGATAGGGAGAGCCAGAAGGGGAGGTCAAAGTGACTCCACCGACTCAGCATTTGGCATGAGAGGTGATGGGCCTGCCTTTCCTGGTTCTTTTCCCAGGTTGCGCTATCATGCAGAAGTACAATTTGTATGTTTTAGAGATCATGTGACAGATTAACAGATGGTGTTTTATTTTTTGTTTTTTAATCGTTCAGTTGTGTCCAATTCTTGGAGACTGCCTGGACAAGTCTCTGCAGTTTTCTTAGCAAGTTTTTTTCAGAAGGAGTTTGCCATTGCCTCCTTCCTAGGGCTAGGCAGGACTAGAACTCATGGTCTCCCAGTTTCTAGCCTGATGCCTTAACCACTGCTCTCTCAAATGGTGTTTACCTTCTCCATGTTGTCATCAGATGGATTATTGCATCAAAAGTTCTTAAAGATTACCTTATAACCAGAGTACTGGCAATATGGCACCAGTAAAAACCATGGCATGTGTGTCTACTCCCCCATCTCCCCCCATGGCGCCTACAAGGACTCTAATCTAAATAAAAGATAATTACAATTCTTAATTAAATCAGCCAAAATGTCACAAGGTTTGGGAATCTTGTGAGAATTTGGTGTTCCCATTTGAAATCTTATAGATTTTAGTCACTGGGATATACACACATAGACATATAGATGTATATCCACATAGTATTATACATATACATGTATGTACACATACACACACACACACACACACACATACCCCACTTTAAGAATGACTTCCATTCCCAAGGTCTGACCTTAAGTTAAATTTGTATGTAAGCCGAAACAGTATTATTGTATTATACTGTATAAGTAGTATTGTGTAATGAACTCGAACCATTGTGTTTTTAATTCGAATCATTGTGTATTTAACTTGAATTTTGCTACAAAAGACTCCATTCTTAATTATGGGTCATCTGTAAACTGGGCATTCTTAACCCGGGGACTACCTGTATACACACATACACACATGAACCCACCAGAGACTACTTGTAGTAGCCTTTTGAGCCACCAGTGCTGTGCCAACCATAGGTTTGGACAATTGGGGTCAACATGTTGGGTGGTCTTGAAAGTGCCACAGGGATTTCCTAGTCTGTCCAGGAAGCCATTTAATATCCCCTATGCCTTGGAAAAGCCAGGAGACAGTGAAACTATTCCTTATTGCATGAGCTTGTGAACATTTAAAAATATAGCTACATTTTCTGGTATTTTTTGTTTTTGTTTTGTTTTTCCAAAATAAATAAATAAAACACTTCCAGCCTAACTAGTACCGGAGCAAAACTTCAGGAAGAGTATAATAACATCCCTATTTTTATTAGTATTTTCTTCCTGCACTTTGTGACTTTGTGGACAAACCTAACCAAGTAACACCATTACATAAGACCTATAAAACCTTTGTACTGAAATTATCATATATTTCCAAAATGCAGATCACAATGTCAGAAACATCCTGTTCACTATCACATTAGTAGAACAGTGTCTTGTTAATTCTATTCCAGAAATGTGGATATTTAGATGATTATTGAATTAGTGGTCATAAATAATGATTTGTGGTATGCAAGTAAGACACCACATATAGTTAGAGTAAACCTACAACTATACAGTAAGATGCACAATATCAAACACAAACTTGTGTTTACCTCTAAATAAATAAAGGAAAGTAGAGATGCAGTCGAATCCAATATCTGCTTACTTAAAAGTAAATTTCACTGATTGCAGACTTAATTTGTTTTGCATTTAATTAATATTTCCTTTTGTTACTCATGTTTTATAGTTGTGTTTGGACAGTTTTCCTATTTCCAAACAGCTCTAAATGATGTGGTAGAATTATTTGATGGAGAACACCCTCAAACTAGACTTCTGAGTTCACTTTCTGGATCTCACTCAGGTAAATAGAACTCTTTAAAAATACATAAATAGCACTAAAGTAATTTATTTTCATAAATTTAAATGTTGAATCAACAAAATGGAATGTGCCATTGCTTTCATATATGCAGTGTATCTAACTGGGCAATCCAAATGGTTACATCAGATATTAATATATGGCCTGAAAATGGGCAGAAAGTTTTTTTTTTTAATGTATATAGACACCCATTTCATTCATGAGCAATGTCACTGATTCTTTTAGTCACCGCTGCAGTCACTTTCCCTTTTCTGATTATTTATGGGATTTTTTCCCCTCCCCAGTTACTAAATTCTATTTAATGTGAAATTATATAATAAAGCCAATAATATCTCAACTGTGTTTAGCCAATTTGATTGAGTATCTTCAGTATAAACTAAGGCTGATGAGGACAGTGTGTCCTGGATTAGTCACAAATTTCATTCCAGCAAATTATTAATCTTGATTCATAATTGTGTTGCTAATAAAAAGTATTTTGTGTAGTCATTCCCTCTGTTCCTGATGTTCACAGGTGAGTGCTAATCTTTTGACATTAAAACCACATAAAATTATGCACAAAAAAGGCTATCAGCAGGCTTGGGGAAATCTAAGATAAGAAAAACATTTTATAATGGACCTCCACTTAGTCAGTAAGTCTTCCACTGCCTATTGTCCAGAATGCTCCAGATCTGCTCCAGCAGGTCCGTAGTCTTCCAGGCCAAGGTCTGAGAAATGGGTACAAGGAATCTGCCAGTGGCAGTTGGTTCTACCAGTGTGATAGTGTGTCAGTGAATTGACGTTGATGAATTTCACTCAGGTTTTTCAGAAGTTCAAACAGAAAACATTTAAGATGGGGAATAGTACCTTGTCAGTGGTCATGGAATCTACTTGATAATTGGGTGGGATGAAAGAAAATCTGATTGAGAAAGGAAATAGTATAAAGTATCATAGATGAGGCCAGAGCTGTCATGAAGCAGAGAATAGGAGCATTTTGTTCTAATTTATAATAGTACTAAAACCAAATAATCTCACTGGAGAAGGAGAATAAAATTTAAAGAAAATGAATATTTTGGAATCAAATGCTGATTAAAAAAATAAGTTCTGTTCAACATGCATAAATATATATAATGAAAATATATAATATTTATATATTATAATGGAATATATTGTATAATAACAATTTCCCTGGCATATACTTTTTTCTACTATTTCCTTCCTTCCTTCCTTCCTTCCTTCCTTCCTTCCTTCCTTCCTTCCTTCCT